AAGGAATTGTCACTGGAGCCGCCGCTGCTGGTGGTGCTGGCTCTTTTTCCATAAACCAAAAATCCAAAAGCGAGCGTCCGTCAAAGAGGAAGAACCATCAACTAGCCCGGCTTTCTAAAGCTGTAAAATGAACTTCGTTTTGTTTTCTTGTTGGTAGTCTCACTCTCACCCCTTGCCTGTTTGCTAAAGATTAGGCCTTCAAGACAGATCAGATCGAACAATGGGATAGGATTGACTTTCTCAATCTACTCAAGACCTCAACTCGGATGGAAAAACTTATTTAAGACAGTTAATTTGGTCATCTAATCAAAGGTGCTAGACGGATCAAGTGATGCAAATTTGAGCTTTAAATGTGGTATGTAATTATGAGCGTGGGCTTAGTAGCGAGAATGTAGTACAATTATTGGCCCACCTTCAGACCTTGCCTAACAACTGAAATAGACCTGCTACGATGTTTCACGCTCTTTTACTTATAGGAAATGACTGTTTAACTTAAAGTAAATCCCCCCAACATCTGTGATAGCCTGTGATAGAGGGAAGGCCCCATTCTATAGGGGTCTTTGCTCGTTATGCTTTGAAGAAAGAGCTTCGTTCAGATCAGAATCTTGACCCTTGGCTTGGGAGTCTAGTTGATCCATTTCCAATTCTTTACATGATCAGTCCTTACCATGTATTGCTGAGGCCAAACACTTTAAGCAAGCTGTCGATGTCTTCTTTATTCCAGAAATGCTGGTTGGAGAGGCGGGTGGGCTCAGGCTTACTTCATTCACCTATGGCAGCAAGAAAATCTCCTATTTTTGTTGAAAGAAAAAGATGACTATAGCCCCTTAACTGGTTTACATAAGGCAAGGGCTGGAACGGGCCGAACTTAGCCAAGCACGTTCTGTAAATGTGGTAGGGCTTTTCATATCATAAGCCAGGGGTAGTGATGCAATGGGACGAAGGGTACGGATCTTAGAAGTATCCGACATAGCGATTGAGATAGGCGTTGTTTTGCTAACGAGCCTGCCCCCTTTCGAGTTTAAGGAAGAAGAGTTTGATTTTTATACTCCATTTTATAGTCGCTGGGGGGAGTCACCATTATAGAACACAATTCTTTTTGGTGAAATAATGGCCGATGCGCTCAACGGCCTTTTCTTGCTTGCCTCCCATGCTTGACGTCAGCAGGCTTTCTCTTTTAGTCAGAGAGATTAGTAAGAGGTGGATCAACAAGGCAGATTACATCGGTTGCAAAGGTAGGTGGTCTGCTTGTTTGCCTGCTTGATTGAAATGAGAGTTTCTTAGAGAGCTCTCCTCCCGTTAAGTATAGGATGTTAGTGTTATCCTTTTGCCTGGTTGTAGACAAGACCTTTAATCCATTTCATTTCGTGTAAAATGAGAAGAGAATTGGTGTGGATTTACTAATAGGCCTGGCCGATCAATCCGCTGAAGCTCCTTCTTGGTATCACAGGATGTGTGATATTTAATCCCCCATACCGTCAAAGTAGTGACGGATAGACCCCTACTCGCGCTAGGCTCTCTTTCTAAATTGAAAATACTGTGCAAGAGATCGAGTTATATTTCCCTGAGATTGGGGATTCTTTTGGCACACACTCACTAAAAGTACGAAAAAAGAAACCATTTCCGAGTGACTGTGGGAGAGATTTCTAGGTTTCAGTCTATAACGGGTGCAGATGGACCCGAAGAAAAGCATTTGAGTCTAAGGCTTTAGTAAAGGGTGATGCGCGGGAACAACTTCTTTACCAGAGATTGGCAACTACAACAAAAACCGAAATTCCTGAAGTTCCGTTCACACTTTCTCTTGAGCATCGGCTCTTGTAATTGCGCTTGCCTCCCATAGGGTTCCTCTATACTATTTAGTATAGTACCTGTCGAAGTGGCTTGAACACTCAAATACAAATGCCAAGTCCAATTAGAGAGAAGCTGTCTCTTTCCTTTCTTCAAGGGTAATCATCTCATGGGAGGGTGTAGGAAGCAAAGATGTTTCACCAATCTGGTCTTCTCTCTCTTTCCGAACCGAGGGAACGCCCGAAGGACGTAACGACCGAATGCACTGGGGCTGCCCGCTGCAACCCAACCAACCCGAGCATTCCGTTCCGGGCTGGTTCGCAAGGCAAGTGAATATTAGAAGAAAACAAACATCGCGAAGAAGATTACAGATGTTCTCTACAAGAACTGCTAGATGAGATTACTGAGAAGACCTTGTCTGGTCTAGTTCCATTCTAGGGGCAGGGAAATGGTTACACAGTATGAGTTTTCCCATAATATAAAGAAGCTAAGGCAGAACTATTCTAACCATCTCGAATACGGGCTTGACTTACTCAGTGAAGGTCTAGTACGGTCGTGTGATTGTTGTGACAGGCAGGGTTATCGATACGCAGCCGCAGCTGGTGAGAACCAAGTTTCAGTTGTTCCCCCCTTTGAATGATTTACACCTATCTGTTGCCATTAATAGATAAGACATTCGAGACCGCTTTGCTTTCTATTTATTTAGATAGATAGAATTCTAATCAGTAATAAAATTTCTTCTTTGAGGGCATGCTCTTCTAGAAAGAGTAAGAGTACGTTGCTTGCTCACTTTTGCTCTTGATTTGAATCAAGATTGGGTTGGTGCTCAGTGTGCTAGGAGGATACAAGATAGAAAAAAGACAGTTATGACTTAAGTACGAGTGATGGATTCCTCGTTCCATAGTCATCAAGTAGATCATAAGCCGGAGCCTGAAGATGTTAGACAGGTCTAGCTAGATCTTATGCTAGCTCCGGGTAAGCTACCATATGTTTTCAAAGCAGATGTCAGCACTCCACTGTCTTCTATTTTCTCTCTTGGCCATTTCTCGTTTTTGGGGTTTAGCAGAACAGACTATGTAAACTCGCTTGCTTTTGGCTTCTTAGGGAAGCTAGCTGCTTTCATCTCCTATGGCAATTAACTTGGTTGATGGATAAGGTCCTATGATTTAACCAAGCACGATCCAAGGACCAGTTCAACATCCAAAGCTAGACCCAGCCTTTTTCAAGATGAACTAACACTTCCGGACTAAGTTCAAACAATTGATTCAGATGAGGAAGCTGGAATTTCGAAAGATCGACCCTTTCTTTCTTTCTGTAGCTCCAGGAATAGAGATCCGTGTCTTGATCCGAGGAGATGTTTAGTTAGTTATGCTTTTTTCTTCACTCCCGGCTTGACACGACGCATCAATTAGACGATTGAGCGAAGGAGACGAGTCTGAACCCGAAGGGACCATTAGAGGGAGCAACCCCTGAGGAAGACTAACCACAAGAACACAACACTATAGACAGAGCTACGCAAATTAAAAGCAAATGCAGATTTTGCTAAGGCAAGCTCCTTCATTGTGATTCTTATCTTTCCAAGCCAAGTAGGCAACTCTTCATCCTCTTCTCGATCCCTGATAATGGGGGCTTCACGGTTGATCTTTTCAAGGCTATCTAATATGCGTTTCTTAGGAGATCTCTCTTATTAGGAAGAGTATGAATGATCGAGCGAAGGACAAAACAAACACCTATTGCAGCACGCCCATTTGAGGAAGATTTTCTTCAGTGCTATTAGTAAAATGAAACCTATTTTATAGCGAAACCACCTTAACCTAAAGAATTCCTCACCGCTCATGTAAGACCAATTCCTCATTTTCGCTCTGGATCCATCTGCCCCAATTGCATCTCTAAGACTAGGATTAGGGTCCCCTTTCTTCTCCGTTCCGTGGTCGTGTACGGGGACCGGTTGTGAGGTCCCAGTAACCGACCCCAGAGCAGAGTGGTGGAAGCTTGTCTTATATAGAAAATGAGTGAAACTGATTATGTTTTCCCTTTAGATGCTGATTTGAAGGAGTCAAATCCTATTCATTGGCTTCTGAGTCTTCCTATTCAGTGAAATCTGGGTCGTTGGCTTGTAGTGAGTCTTTTCGCTTCTGTGTAAGTCTTTAGCTTCGGTGATAGGTAGTAGAAAACATGAAAAGTTTGGTCTGATATGGATGTCAAATGAGTGAAATCGGATTCCTTGATTGTAGTTGGGTGCTTATTTGTAGGAGTAGTTCAGCTTCTTTTCTTCCTCACCTCAAACAACATAGCAATCAGTTTTGAGGTACCGTTACAGTTATGAATTCATTTTCTGCTCTTATTCCTTTGCTTGTGGTGGTGTATGAGTTGTCTGTCATCTGTCCTTTCTTTACTGGTTTTAAGTTCTTAATGAAATATGGCTTAAAACCTCCTCTTTCAGGATGTGACCCATCTATGTAAGAAGCCACAATTCCAATCGATGCTATTGCTATTCGCTAATGATAATAGCGGGGATCTTGATTGACATGTGGAGGCCAAGAGCAGTCTCAAAAGATTATATGATAGCCCTAGAATCGACAAATCCTTCAAACGAAGGACTTACAAGCAGACTTTATACAGACGTACCCGTACCTGTATTTCTTTAAATAAGCTCTCCATTCCGATGGGTGTGCTTCTTTCGTGAAAGATTTTCCAATAAAAAGGTATTACCCAAGGCAGTTTTTTCGTGCAACGTGGAATGGAGGTGGGAAATCTGGTCTTTGCTTATAATAATGGAATGATTGAATTGTCACTTCCTTAAATACTATCCTTTCATCAAAGTGAGATTCTTGTCTATTTCCTATTGAAGAAACTCATTGCTCATGGATAAAGACCGTTTCGACATCAAAAACGACAGTCATAGCGGATTCAGAATTGTGTAATCTACCCGTTGTTCTATCTCCGATTCAACACTATAGCATGCAGCCGATAATGGAGAGAGATATATATAACGTGTGCAGTGAGGGATCTTTATCTTCTATTATAGGCAGCCAGTCTTTACTTAACTCGGCCCAAGCAACGCTCCTTCACTCCCATGCCTTTCTTGGTCGGACCAACCCAACTGGTGATTTCCATCTTCCTGAATTGGGAGAGCAAGAACAAGTCTCTCTTTTTTTTGGGGGGGGGGGGGGGGGGGGGAGCAGAGCAGTCAAAGAAATGAAGCAAAACAAATGATTTTTATAGAATGGCTATTCCTCACAATTTATTCTTGTGATGCAGCGGAACCATGGCAATTAGGATCTCAAGACGCAGCAACACCTATGATGCAAGGAATAATAGACCTACATCACGATATCTTTTTCTTCCTCATTCTGATTTTGGTTTTTGTATCATGGATCTTGGTTCGCGCTTTATGGCATTTCCACTATCCAAAAAATTTAATCCCGCAAAGGATTGTTCATGGAACTACTATCGAGATTCTTTGGACCATATTTCCTAGTATCATCCCTATGTTCATTGCTATACCATCATTTGCTCTGTTATACTCAATGGACGAGGTAGTAGTAGATCCAGCCATGACTATCAAAGCTATTGGACATCAATGGTATTGGACTTATGAGTATTCGGACTATAACAGTTCCGATGAACAGTCACTCACTTTTGACAGTTATACGATTCTAGAAGATGATCCAGAATTGGGTCAATCACGTTTATTAGAAGTGGACAATAGAGTGGTTGTACCAGCCAAAACTCATCTACGTATTATTATTACATCTGCTGATGTACCTCATAGTTGGGCTATACCTTCCTCAGGTGTCAAATGTGATGTTGTACCTGGTCGTTTAAATCAGACCGTCATTTCAGTACAACGAGAAGGATTTTACTATGGTCAGTGCAGTGAGATTCGTGGAACTAATCATGCCTTTACGCGTGTGCCCGGAAACATAGGCCGACTATTGGGCCCACTTTGGCTCAGCCGCACCACCCCAGGTGCGAGCCACCCGATAAGCAAGCTATTACAGCGAGCAGCTGGAGCATTAGGGAGCTGAGGAGCAAGACAGTAGATAAGATAGAAAAAGGGGTGATAAGCGCTGAATACTGTATATTCAAGCGCCCTAAATTACATTAACAAAGTCCATTAATTGATTATTTTATGTAGATTAAATCCATTTGCACGTTTTTATGCATTTTCAGGTTAAAGTGCAAAAAGGAAGCAAAAATGATGCCTTGTGGAATTTTGAACAAAAAGGATGCCATTTCTGAATTTCTGGCAGCAGTGATCCTGAATTTTGTTGCCATTTTCGACCTAGAAAACTCAAGAACTGGACTTCCATCATAACATAAAAGATTTATATCTCTGAATCAGCTTTCCAAATCTTCAAGCGGTTTATCATTCGGAGTTCGGAGCAGAGAGTTATGATCTTCTTAACAGAGGTGTGCAGAACTGCCTGGCAGCACTAAAGTACTGCCTTTCTCCCCATTTTTGACCAACCAGACTTGAGAATTGGGTCTTCATCAAAACATGAAGTTTTTAAAGCACTGAATCAGCTCTCCAAATCTTCAAACAGATCATCATTCGGAGTTCGGAGTACAAAGTTATAGCAGTTTTACCAAAGTAGGTCAGCGTTGAGCAAGAAGAGCATGTTGCACATTACACTAATTTAGAGTGCTCGAGACCACTTTTCGAGTGCTCGAAAATTAGGCAGATTGCACTCGAAAATGGCTCATTTTCAGCCACTTGCACATTGGTTTCCTCAATGCCATCTTCCTTCTTTATGAAGTGGTTGGAGGTGTTCCTTGGAGGAGAGAGAGGGTTTTGTTGGAGAATAAAAGGCTACCAAAGGCCACACATTTGGGATGCTTCATTTTGGGAAGATAGAGGAGAGAGAAGAGAGCAAGGAAAGAGAGTTCTTCAAGCTAACAAAGGGAAGCTCAAAAATTAGAAATGGAGTTCAAGCTTCTTCTTCATTCTAAGGCTCCAATGGGTAACTAACTCTTCTTCTAGGGAGGTGATGAAGCCTCCCTTGTAAGCATACTCTAGTTTTGTTCTTAATTTGGGGAATGAAGTATGTATGTGGTATTTTTCATAAGCTAGAGCTCTACACATGTTGTAATGGATCTTAAATTCTATTAATGATTATGTTGAGTTTTATCATCTTGTTTTAGGTTATATTCTCTCATGATTTTATAGCTTGCATCTTCATAGCGGGAATGGAGATGAGATTATGAAATGGTTTTCTTGGCATGTCTTGTGAAGGTTTTGATAGTCCATTCCTAGGAACGATGAACCATACTACACCCCTAGTTTAATGTAATTAAGTAGATGGTTCATACCAACCGTGGATGGATTATACTTAGTCTTTGATTACATGTGCATTTACCATACAAAGTAAGGGATTTGATAGGCCATTCCTAGGGGATTATACTTAGATGGTTTATACTTAGCTCTTGATTGTATGAACTTCTTGAAGATAGTGTAGTTATCATGCATCTCTACATATCATGGTCATTTACATAAGTAGCTCCCCAAGTTAATTGCAAGCTAGCATGTTTATGAGGTGTGTGGTGGATTCATTTCCCTAGTCCTCTCCACCTAAGTTTAACTCCTTTTAACCTCCTTCCATTTATTATTTTATGCATCTTTACATTTCTAGCTTAGTGACAAACCAATCAACAACTCTTTATTACACCTTATCACTCTATAATGACTCTAGACACTTAGGTTGCCATAGATTAGCGCAGTCCCAGTGGTTCGACTTACCCGACCAATAGCCCTATTTTACAATGATTCGTGCTATTGCGAAGGTTGATGTTTAATTGACCAACCGATCAATTTTTGGCGCCGTTGCCGGGGACTTGCAAACGGTTTAGCAACTAAAGTTTAGGGTTAAATTTAGTTTGATTGTGCATATTGTGTCTTGTGAATATTCCTTGTGTGTTTTGATCATCTTCATGTTGTAAGATTCTAGGGACTCGAAGCTCGCCATGGGATTGCTAGCAAATTGTAAGTTTAGAGGACCCCAGGTAAGTCTCGTGACTTCTAGTTTCAAATTGTGAATATCGTGCATGTGTTAAGCTTAGAAGTAGATAAATTGCAAGCCCTTGTCGAGGCTATTTCAATTGTGTATTTTCAATTCCAAGCATCGGTCCTTGTCGTGGCCATTTATTTTCTGTCTTGATAATTGAGGAGGAAGGGAACATCGTATGTGGAGTTGATGATAAAGATTTGTTGTGATGATGTTGTTGTGAATTGTTGATGTTTGGCCGTAGGTCACTCTCTCTACCCACACTTGACTCGCTTATTGATATAAATTCACTTGAAAGAACTCTTAGACGGAACCTTAGGGAACCCACTCTTACAAGGGACCTTGAAACTGAATTCAATATAATGGGGGATAACGTAGGAAATCCGGGGAATGAAAGGGCTGAAATTCCTAATGTAGAACCAATGACTCTTAGAGATCATTTCATTCCTACCACCTATGCTTCTCCTTCTTGTATAGTGATGCCAAACATCGATGCAGCTCAATATGAGATCAAGTCTAGTACCATTCAAATGCTTCCATCATTATGGCTTTGATAATGAAGATCCATATAAGCATCTTGATGAGTTCCTTGAAATCTGTTCGACCATCCGGTTGAGAGGTTTTCCGAACAATGCACTTCATCTCCATCTTTTCCCATTCTCCCTAAAGGATAGGGCAAAATATTGGTTGAACTCCCTCGCTCCCAACTCTATTACTTCTTGGGCTCAATTGCAACAAGAATTTCTTAAGAAGTATTATCCAGTGAGTAAAACCAACCAAATGAGGCGTTCCATTCTAAGTTTTTCTCAAGTTGATGGAGAACAACTCCACGAGACTTGGGAAAGGCTACAAGATCTTCTTCGAAAATGTCCTCATCATTTGATCCCAAAATGGCAATTAGTGCAAGCTTTCTATGCGGGCTTAACCGAAACCCATAGATTCATGATTGACTCTTCGTGTGGTGGGATGTTCATGTCCAAGAATGCGGATGAGGCTTGGACCTGACTTGAGAATTTGAGTGAAAATTCACTTCAACACAATTCTCGTAGGGCTCCGACCTCAACCACTCCAAACAACACTAACCCTTGTCAACCAAAATCAATAAGGGAGGAATCATCTCAAGTGGATGCCATCGCTCATAAATTCTACCAATTGATGGCACCACATCTTCCTCTTTCGTTGTCTTAAAATTCAGCAAGTTCAGTTTGTGCTTCGTGTACTAGTCCATTCCATCTCTCGAAAGATTGCCCCACACCGGAGCAATTTTCCAATCCCAACCAAGAGCAAGCTAATGCCATGTTCTCGCGGCCCGGGAACAATCCATATTCCAACACCTACAATCTGGGTTGGCGAGATCATCCGAATTTCTCGTGGCGGCAACAAGCCCCACAAAATTCCCAATTCCAAAACCAAGGGCGGCAAAATCAGCCCTCTTCTCAATATCAAGGTAGACCTTTCCAAGCCTCTTCAAGCTACCGTCCTCCTTACAATCCAAATGTCTCCAATCAACCTCCTGTGTGTCCAACTGACGAGATAGTAGCTGCAAACAAGCAAATGATGGAATCATTAAATAAGCAAATAATGGATGCCAACAAGCAACTCTTGACATCCTTGCAGCCTACTCTCCAAATGGTTCACTCTCATACTCAATCCATAGCTAATCTCGAAAATCAAGTGGGCCAAATAGCTAACTCGGTGAACCAATTGCTTCAAAAGGACAAGGGCAAACTTCCCTCTCAACCTTTTGAAAATCCTAGAGGAATGCATGTGATTGACGAAACCCCTCCTCCGAGTGGGCCGACTCATGAACAAGTTCAGGCTATCACCACCCTTCGGAGTGGTAGAGTGGTTGACAACAAGGTCGATGGAGACAAAAGTGAGGAAGTTTCTCCTTTGAAAAATCCAAATTCAAGCTCTTCTAATCCAAATTCTTGTCCAAATACCATTCACGGAAATCCCACACATGTCACCCCAAATGTGGACACGACTTATGAGCCAAAAGCTCCGTTTCCTCAACGTCTTCAAGAGTCGACACATTTTGGGAACAAGAATTGTAAAATTCAAGACATGTGGGAAGTTTTCAAGTAAGTGAAGATTAACTTGCCCCTCTTGGATGCTATCAAGCAAATCCCTCCCTATGCAAAATTTCTCAAAGATTTGTGCACTCAAAAGCGCACTTCTAAAAATCATTTGCCAAAAAAAGTGAGGTTGACTGAAAATGTTAGTGCTATCATTCAGCACAGCACTCCCCCGAAGTATAAGGATCCGGGTGCCCCTACAATCTCTTGCGTCATTGGTGACAGCAAAATCGAGAGGGCCCTCCTTGACTTAGGAGCTAGTGTGAATTTAATTCCATACTCAATCTACCTACAACTTGGTTTGGGAGATCTTAAGCCGACTTCCGTGGTTTTGCAACTTGCCGATAGATCGGTCAAGCATCCACGAGGTATTCTCGAGGACGTTATCATCAAAGTGGACAAATTCTACTTCCCGGTAGATTTTGTGGTTCTTGATACAGAACCGGTCCATGACCCAAAAAAGCACATTCCCGTGATCCTTGGTAGGCCATTTTTAGCCACGGCTAGTGCATCAATTAATTGCCGAATCGGGGTGACGGACATTATTTTTGGAAACATGCAAGTCAAACTCCACATCTTTTATGCAACTCAACATCCCTCCAATGAGGATGATTGTTTTCTTGTGGATGTCATCGATGAAGTGGTCGAAGAATCTCTCCCCTTCATTCTAAGCAAAGATCCTCTTGAAACTTGCATATCCCATTTTGACTTTTCAAACTTTGATGTTGATCAAGCCATTCAAGAAGTCAATTCCTTGCTTGATATTAGTGCTATCATGGATGTACCTCCTTGGAAAATTCCAAAAGAACCACTTCCCCAACTTTCCACCACTCCTCCGGTCCCATCATTGTTATCTCCGCCACAACTTGAGCTTAAGCCGCTCCCGGCCCATCTCAAGTATGTGTTCCTTGGTCCAAAGCAAACCCTTCCGGTCATTATTGCCTCGGACCTTCAAAAAGACCAAGAGACCAA